AAAGAGGATGGAGAGAGGCTGTTCACAGTAGTGATGGATGGCAGAACAAGGAGCAATGGTCTCAAGTTACAGTGGGGGAGGTCTAGGTTGGATATTAGGAAAAACTATTTCACTAGGAGGCTGGGGAAGCACTGGGATGGGTTCCCTAGGGAGGGGGTGGAATCTCCATCCCTAGAGGTTTTTAAGTCTCGGCTTGACAAGGCCCTGGCCGGGTTGATTTAGTTGGGATTGGTCCTGCCTTGGGCAGGGGGCTGGACTTGATGTCCTGAGGTCTCTTCCAGCTCTATGATTGTATGATTCTAACACTAAACAGACCCTGGAGTATCTCCGGCATGTGTCCCCTGCACACAGCACGTTACCTCAGCGTGTGTACCTGTGTTATCTGTTTATTACAGCATTTCAGTCTCGGGGTTTAAAGAGATAGTTCCCCCACATCACTACTCCTTCTTATCCAATGTTATTAACATGTTTGTAGCTGTCAGTAAACTAGGAATGTTAGCGTATAGTCATGTAAACGATCGACCAATAATCCTGGTCTTATTGGTTAATCCTACGAACTACTCGCATTCCCCCCACTCCTTGTTGTATCTGTATCAAAGACAGTAAGGATGGGAAGCCGGGAGGTGGCTCCCCACGAGCACCCAATCCCATGGAACCAGCTGCTTCCCCATCCCCATTTGCTGCCTCTGAGAGAGGCAGCAGCGCAGAGGGTAAGGAGGGGAGGTGGGAGCTGGTACATGACAGGATCCAGCTTTTACGCTGGCTCTCCATGTGTGCCGGCTCCATGGAGCTATCTCTTCCCCACTTGCTGCCTCCAACGGGGGGGAGGGAGGGCGTGCAGGCGGGAGCCATTGCTCAAAGGGAGCTGGCTTAAAAGTCGGCTTCCCACGCACACCAGCTTTGTGGAGCTACCTTCTTCTCCCATACCACTTCCACTGTATCACAGGCAGTGGCATGGGGGAAGAGTCAGGTGGGATGCCATTGCAGCCTCTGTCTGCGGTGGATTCAGGCTCATCATGGATAGAGGCTGCCCCATGGGATAGCGGAGCAAGCAGACAGAGGCTGCTGTCATCCCGCGCTGCTGCCTCTGTGGTGTGGGGTGGCAGGCGGGAGCCGGTCTGTGCAGGGAGCTGGTTTTTAAACTGGCTCCCTTTGCGGTCTGGCTCTTGCCTGCCACCCCTTGCTGCTACCTCTGAAACAGAGGCAACAGTGCCGGGAGGCAGGGCATTCCCCAGAAGTGGGATTGGGAGTGCGCTGGCTGCTGGCCCCGCCTCCGGAGACTATCGAATGATCTATAACTGCTGAGATTTTGGGTGGGTTACACAATTATTGGATAAAATGATATCTAACATCCCTACTGTAAACCAGCCCAAATCTTCACCCATTGCAATATCATCACTAATAATAATACTAGGCTACGTCTAGACTGGCATGATTTTCCGGAAATGCTTTTAACGGAAAAGCAGAGCGTCTAGATTGGCACGGACTTTTGCCCAAACGGGAGCAGCATAGTATTTCCGCAAAAAGCACTGATTTCTTACAGTAGGAAGTCAGTGCTTTTGCAGAAATTCAAGCAGCCAGTATAGACAGCTGGCAAGTTTTTCCGGAAAAGCGGCTGATTTTCTGGAAAAACTGGCCAGTCTAGACACAGCCCTAGTGTTAAGTCACATTGGCTTCTCAGAAGATTTACCTTTGGTTTTAAAGCAAAGCAAAACAAACTTGTGGTGAGTGAAAGCAGAACCAGTGAATCCTAGTACCTTAAAATCTCTGCTCAGTGAATGAGCTCTCGTTCATCAGGCAGATCTCTGCACTAGCATGGAGATGGACTGGATGAACATTTCAGTCTCTCATTTTTTTCAGTCTAGGAATATTGCTCTCGCCTGTAAGATCCAACTTTGCAATGCCACATCCTTTGCAAATGTATTGCAGAAAGCACTGTTACAAGTTCAGGATTTAGGGACCCAGAGCTCTACCTAGTGAACCATGCTGTGCTGTAACTGAAGAAAATGAAACTGGCCAGACAGTTCCTGCCCATCTCTGTGTTGTATCAACTAATGTGAATAATATTTATTATGGGGATGGCAAGAACATCTATGGTTCTATGATTCTAACAGGGCCTCCATTGCGCAAGGCACTGTCCAGACATAAAGGAAGAGATTAGTGGTGCTCCAAGAAGCATGCAGTTTAAGTATCATTTTAGTATCATTTAGCAACTAAAATGATTAGGGGTTTGGAACAGGTCCCATATGAGGAGAAGCTAAAGAGACTGGGACTTTTCAGTTTAGAAAAGAGGCAACTAAGGGGGGGTATGATAGAGGTCTATAAAATCATGAGTGGTGTGGAGAGGGTGCATAAAGAAAAGTTATTTACTTGTTCCCATAATATAAGAACTAGAGGACACCAAATGAAATTAATAGGTAGCAGGTTTAAAACTAATAAAAAAAAGTTCTTCTTCACACAGCGCACAGTCAACCTGTGGAACTCCTTGCCAGAGGAGGCTGTGAAGGCTAGGACTATAACAGAGTTTAAAAATGAGCTAGATAATTTCATGGAGGTTAGGTCCAAAAAAGGCTATTAGCCAGGGAGTAAGGAATGGTGCCCTTGGCCTCTGTTTGTCAGAGGCTGGAGATGGATGGCAGGAGACAATTTGCTTGATCATTGTCTTCGGTCCACCCCCTCTGGGGCACCTGGCACTGGCCACTGTCGGCAGACCGGATACTGGGCTAGACAGACCTTTGGTCTGACCCAGTATGGCCATTCTTATGTTCTTATGTAAGTAAGCCAACCCCAACAAAAAGTAGAAGAAAGAGAGAGAATATGCAAGCAGAGTCAATGATGTGAAGTCCACCGTGGTTCTTAACATGCAGATCATGAATGATAGCGGGTGTGCAGAGCCCCGCCTGGAAGGAACAGCATTAGG